GAACTCTTTTTCTCAACTTGTTCTTGTTGTCAGAGGGACTTTTTTGAATGCACCTTGTACGAAGTCCTCTGCCAAAGTAGTTATCGTAATTCCTAGCATGGGACCGTGGAATCAGTACATTCGCAGGATTTTCTCCGGCATCAACACTTGAGTCTTGCAATTCTCAGCAGCAAGCTAAAACACATCAGCGTAACCGTTTAGGCAGAGAGTCAATCAAAGGATTGACTTCACTAGCCTCTTTGACGATATGTAGCTTGGCGCTGAGAGTGGCAAGGCTTACTGATGATGTCGACTACGGTACTGGCGAAGAGTCTGAGAATGTGCCAAGTCTACGGTCTGATGCTGAGAATTCTGATGACTAGTTTGGCAGAGGACCTCGGACAAGGTGCGTTCAACTAAATCGCCCTGACGACAAGACCAAGTTACGAAAATGAGGTCAACACAATTTCATAAATTAGTTGACAAAATGAAGGAGCTTAAATTATAGCATCAGATAAAACACACCACAGAAATGGTGATTAAACCATATATGCTTTGAGAATATTTTAGGCATACTCGACGTTCTATAAGCTCTTGTGAGTCTTATAATTAATGATTGCATCTTCCCATTATATTGTCGATGAGGGAATATAAGCATTTAGGACATATGCTTCAATATACTTAGAAAGGACAAAAAAAGTAAAGTTTTAAATAACTAACATTTAAAAGCATGGTAATATGATAGTTGGAGACCAGGAAGAAAATAACTGTGAAAGATTTTAAGATTTACATCAAGGATGGCTTCATTGCAGTAAGCACATTTTGGCGAAAACATGGTCTGGTGACAATCTGCACAGTAGGGCTGTTCATCTCTTTCGTAGAAATCTTGCCGAACAAGGCCGATGCGACAGCTAGTACAAAGAAAATGCTCTGGATGCCAAGTACCTCCACATGCAGTTATCATCTGTAAGGAAATAGGAGCGGCATCGACACAATAAGATGAAATGCTGTCTTAAGGAACAACCAAATAGGTTTAGTCAAAATAGGTTTTTAGATCTTAATAAAGAAATTTTAATTTGGAAAGAAATATAAATCCCATATTAGAGAAAAATGAAAAAGCAGATTCCAAATGTTTTGCTATTTAACCAGAAATGTGGCCTATTTAGTCTGCAAAAGGCTTATATACCCTGAAAATGCCAAAAATCCAACAGGATTCTGTCATGACAAGAACACGTGGTCAAAATGATTTGTATTCATTAGATTCCAGGTCGTCCTTATTACTATAAACCAATCAGTAGTAATAGACTTTGAGGCTAGTTTTTTAATAAATTAAGCAACTTTAGGAAATATAATCAAGATATCTTCTCT